AAGTGCTGGGATTACAGACATGAACCACCACATCCAACTTTCTTTTCTTTAACTTTGACTTTCTTGAGCTATAATTCACATACCTTACAATCTGCTCATTTAAAATGTACAATTCTGGCTGGGCACAGTGGCTCATGCGTGTAATCCCAGCACTTTGGGAGGCTGAGGTGGGCAGATCACGAGGTCAGGAGTTTGAGAACAGCCTGGCCAACGCTGTGAAACCTCGTCCCTAAAAAATAAAAAAATACAAAAAATACAAAAATTAGCTGATTGCAGTGGTGCGTGTCTGTAGTCCCAGCTATTCGGGAGGCTGAGGCAGGAGAATTATTTGAACCTGGGAGGCAGAGGTTACAGTGAGCCGAGATCACGCCACTGCACTCCAGCCTGGGTGACAGGGTGAGACTCCATCTTACATAGATAGATAGATAGATAGATAGATAGATAGATAGATAGATAGATAGTACAATTCAATGGTTTTTAGTATATTCAGTCGTATAGCCACAATCAATTTTAGAACCTTTTCATCAACTCAAAAGAAACCCATACCCATTAGCAATCATTCCCCATTTCCCCCCAACCATTCCCAACACCACACCCTACCTCCATCCTCAGGCAACCATTAATCTACTTTCTGTTGCTGTAGCTTTGCCTTCTCTGGAAGTTTCATATACAGAGAATTAGTCAATGTGTATAGTCTTTTGTGACTGCCTTTCACCTCCCCTAGTGATTGTAAATTTCATCCATATTGGGGTGTATCTCAGCACCTAGGAGTGGAATTGCTATCATACAGTAACTCAGTATTTAACTTTTTGAGATGTTGTTTTTTTTCTGTTTTTGTTTGTTTTTTTATTTTGTTTTAGACAAGGTCTCACTCTCGCCCAGGCTGGAGTGCAATGGCACAATCTCAGCTCACTGCAACCTCTGCCTCCCAGGCTCAGGCAATTCTCTCACCTCAGCCTCCCAAGTAGTTGGGATCATAGGCATGCATGCACCACCACGCCCGGCTACTTTTTATATTTTTAGTAGAGACAGGGTTTCGCCATGTTGGCCAGGCTGGTGCCAGAGTGTTTTCTAAGGCCGTTGGCACCATTTTACATTCCACCAGCAGTGCAGAAGGGTTTCAATTTTTCCACATCCTTGCCAGCCCTTGTTATTTTCCATTTTTTAACTTGTATCTGTCTTAGTGGGTGTGACGTTCATTTGTATTTCCCTAATGGCCACTGATGTTAACATGAGTATCTTTCCATGCGCTTATTGGCCACGTGTATATCTTTTTGAGAGAAATGTCTTTTCAAACCCTTTGCCCATTTTTATTTGATTTGTCTTTTTATTGTTGAATTGTAAGAGTTCTTAATGTAGTCCTTTATCAGATATATAATTTGCAAAATTTGTGGGGTTGTCTCTTTCTCTCTCTCTCTCTTTTTTTTTTTTAAGAAGGAGTCTCCCTCTGTTGCCCAGGCTAGAGTGCTGTGGTGTGATCTCGGCTCACTGCAACCTCCACCTCCCGGGTTCAAGCAATTCTCCTGCCTCAGTCTCCCAAGTAGCTGGGACTACAGGCACATGCCACCGTGCCTGGCTATTTTTGTATTTTTAGTAGAGACAGGGTTCCACCATGTTGGCCAGGATGGTCTCGAACTCCTGACCTTAGGTGATCTACCCAGCTCAGCCTCCCAAAGTACTGGAATTACAGGCATGAGCCACCATGCCCAGTCTCTCTTTACTCCCTTGATGGTATCCTTTGAAGCAAAAAAGTTTTTGATTTTGGTGATGTTCAATTTATTTATTTATTTACGAGATAGAGTCTCACTTCACCACCCAGGCTGGAGTGCAGTGGTGCAATCTCAGCTCACTGCAACCTCTACCTCCCAGGTTCATGCAATTCTCATGCCTCGGCCTCCCAGGTAGCTAGGATTACAGGCGGGTGCCACCACACCTGGCTAATTTTTTGTATTTTTGGTAGAGTCAGGGTTTCGCCACTTTGGCCAGGCTGGTCTCGAACCCCTGACCTCATGTGATCCACCTGCTTCACCCTTCCAAAGTACTAGGATTACAAGTGTGAGCTACCACCTCCAGCCCAGGTGATGTCCAATTTATCTATTATTTTGTTGCTGTTGCTTTTGGCATCTTATCCAAGAAGGCTTTGCCTAACTCAAGGTCATGAAGAATTTATTCTATATTTTCTTCTAATAGAATTTTAGCTCCTAATTTAGACTTTTGATCCATTTTGAGTTAATTTTTGGGTATGGCATAAGGAAGGGGATAAACTTCATTTTTTTGCACGTGTATATTCATTTATCCCAACACCATTTGTTGAAAAGATTCTTCCGGCCGGGCGTGGTGGCTCACACCTGTAATCCCAGCACTTTGGGAGGCCAAGGTGGGTGGATCACAAGGTCAGGAGTTTGAGACCATCCTGGCTAACAAGGTGAAATCCTGTCCTTACTAAAAATACAAAAATTAGCCGGGCGTGGTGGCGGGCGCCTGTAGTCCCAGGTACTCGGGAGGTTGATGCAGGAGAATGGCGTGAACCTGGGAGGCAGAGCTTGCAGTGAGTCAAGATTGCACCACTGCACTCCAGCCTGGGCAACAGAGCGAGACACTGTCTCAAAAAAAAAAAAAAAAAAAAAAAAAGGATTCTTCCTTCCCTGTTGAATCATCTTGGCACGCTTGTTGAAAATCAAGTGGCTGTAAAACTAAGGGTGAATTATCTTGGCACCCTTATTGAAAATCAGGTGGCTGTAAATGTGACAGTTCTATCCTACAATCTTCCTGAACTCTTTCTTGATTATTTTTGCATGTCTGTGGGTATGGGACCTTCCCCTTTCTAACAGTCACAGAGTATTCCATGGTGTAGAAAGAAATACTGTAATCTGTGTAATGAGCTTCTATTGGACATTTGGGGCTGTTGGGTTTTGTTTTGTTCTGTTTTGTTGCTGTTACTGATTGTGCTACAGAAAATGCTTTCAGGCCAGACATGGTGGCTCACGCCTGTAATTCCAGCACTTTGGGAGGCCGAGGCAGGCGGATCACCTGAGGACAGGAGTTTGAGACTAGCCTGGCCAACATGGTGAAACCCTGTCTCTACTAAAAATACAAAAATTAGCCGGGCATGGTGGTGGATGCCTGTAATCCCAGCTGCTCAGAAGACTGAGGCAGGAGAATTGCTTGAACCCAGGAGGTGAAAGTTGCAGTGAGCCGAGATCATGCCACTGCACTCCAGCCTGGGTGACAGAGTGAGACTCCATCTCAAAGAAAAACAAACAAACATACATTAAAAAAAAAAAAAAAAAGCTTTTGGGGTACTCCTTCATTCCAGGAAAGTGCGTTGAGTGCCTTCTCTGTGCCACACACTTTGGGAGGTATTGGGCATACAGGCAATAACAAAGTAAACGGGATGATTTCACTTTGAGAAAAGCACAGTGAAGAAATGAAACACGACTGTAATCCCAGCATTTTGGGAGGCCAAGGCAGGAGGATCACTTGAGCCCAGGAGATTGAGACGAGTCTGGGCAACATAGGGAGACCCTGTCTCTACAAAAAAAACAAACAAAATTGGCCAGGCTTGGTGGTATACACCTGTGATCCCAGCTACTTGGGAGGTTGAGCAGGAGGATCACTTGGGCCTGTGAGGTCAAGCAGTCACCTAGGTGAGCTAGGATTGCACCACTGCACTCCTACCTGGACGACAGAGCTGTCTCAAAAAAAGAAAAAAGTCTGGACGTGGTGGCTCACACCTGTAATCCCAGTGCTTTGGGAGGCCCAGGCAGGTGGATCACCTGGGGTCAGAAGTTCGAGACCAGCTTAGCCAACATGGTGAAAGCCCTCTCTACTAAAAATGCAAAAATTAGCTAGTTGTGGTGGCGGGCACCTGGAATCCCAGCTACACGGGAGGCTGAGACAGCAGAATCGCTTGAACCTGGGAGGTGGAGGTTGCAGTGAGCCAAGATCGCACCATTGCATTCCAGCCTGGGTGACAAGAGTGAAACTCTGTCTCAGAAAAAAAAAAAAAAAGAAGAAGAAGAAATGAAACAGGGAAGGCTGGGCGCAGTGGCTCAAGCTTGTAATCCCAGCACTTTGGGAGGCCGAGACGGGCGGATCACGAGGTCAGGAGATCGAGACCATCCTGGCTAACACGGTGAAACCCCGTCTCTACTAAAAAATACAAAAAACTAGCCGGGCGAGGTGGCGGGCGCCTGTAGTCCCAGCTACTTGGGAGGCTGAGGCAGGAGAATGGCGTAAACCCGGGAGGCGGAGCTTGCAGTGAGCTGAGATCTGGCCACTGCACTCCAGCCTGGGCGACAGAGCGAGACTCTGTCTGAAAAAAAAAAGAAATGGAACAGGGTGATATGCAAGGGAGTGATTGGATATACATGTTGGGTTAAGGGGTTTTTGATTTGGGGATTCACGGAATATTTCACTGAAGAGGCATCCTGTGAGCTGTGAGCTCGATGAGAAAGAGCCCACTGTTACGAAGGTTGTTTCAGGGACAAGGAACAGCAAGTACAAAGGCCCGGAGGTCGGAATGAACTTAATGTGCTCACAGAACAGAAAGAAACCCGGTGTGCCTGGAGAGCAGCCAGGGCCGGAGGAGAAGCGGGCAGCAGCACGCTAGAGGAACACAGCTCTTGCAGCCTTACCAAGGCAGTTGGATTTTATTATGAATGTGAAAGGAAGCTGCTGGGGGTGGGCGTTAAGCAGAGGAGTGCCTCGATCTAATTGATGTGCTAAAAAGAACACTCTGCTTAAGAAGCAGTTCCTTTCCCAACCTGGTTCCAACATTTGCAAACACTGAATTCTTAAAAGTGGAGGACTGGGTCAGCGGGTTTAGACATTTAAAATGTTCCTGGGTGCTGCCAACTGCCTCCCCCCAAAAATAGCTCTAGGTTTTACCCTAAGGGTGCCAGCGCCTGCGATAGCCTGCAGCATTTGGGGTGAGGGTCGGGTGAATTCGCACCCCCTGGGCCCCAGCACCCACTCTCTGGCGCTTGCTTTCCTTGTAGGACCTTCGCCTCTGCATTTGCCCAGTAACTCTGGCTGTGCCGGATACTGCTTGGGTAAAACGAGTACCCCAGGAACATGGCAGACGAAGATCTCATCTTCCGCCTGGAAGGCGTTGATGGCGGTCAGTCCCCCCGAGCTGGCCATGATGGTGATTCTGATGGGGACAGCGACGATGAGGAAGGTTACTTCATCTGCCCCATCACCGATGACCCAAGGTCGAACCAGAATATCAATTCCAAGGTTAATAAGTACTACAGCAACCTAACAAAAAGTGAGCGGTATGGATCCAGCGGGTCCCCGGCAAACTCTTTCCACTTCAAGGTGAGTGAGCCACCTACGCCACCTTCCCCATCCAGGTCAGCTGCTGTGTAAGGGATGGAGGGTTGGGGTCGCTGGTTGGGGTCTTCTTCGTATTTCCAAACCCTGGCCAGTGCTCTAAACTCTGATCTGAGGATATACTTGTTAAGCAGGGAGGGGTATTGTTGATTTAAAATAAATTTCATTACCTTGGAGCTGGGTGTTTTTCAAATAGTAGCCCAGGGCACACTACGGAGTTGTGAAAACCTTTTGCTGAGTTTTGTCCAATGTTTTGTTTTGTTTATTTATTTATTTTAGTTTTCTTTAGAGACAGAGTTTTGCTCTGTCACCTAGGCTGGAGTGCAGAGGTGCTGGGTTTGTTTTTGTTTTTTAAAGAAATGGAACAGAACAGAATAAAATAGCAACTACTGGGGAACATTGCAAACTGTAAAGATCTTATTTCTTTTTAAAAACTTTTATTTATTTATGGCAACAGAAAATTCCCAAACTAAGGACCTTATTTCTCTTTCTTTCTTTTCCTTCCTTCCTTCCTTCCTTCCTTCTTTCTCTTTCTCTCCCTTCCTTCCTTCCTTTCTCTCTCTCTCTTTCTTTATCATTCTCTCTCTCTCTCTTTCTCTCTCTTTCTGCATCTTTTTTTTTTTTTTTTTTTTTTTTAAATAAACGTGGTCTTGCTTTGTTTCCCAGGCTGGCGTGCAATGGCACAATCATGGCTTACTGCAGCCTTGAATTCCTAGGCTCAAGCAAGCCTCCCACCTCAGCCTCCTGAGTAGGTAGGATTATAGGCTTGCACCACTATACCTGGCTCATTAAAAAAATTTTTTTTGTAGAAATGGGGTTTCCCAGGCTGGTCTTGAACTACCACGCCCGGCCACTTGTTGTTAATTTTTGGAAGAATTTATTTAACAACATATTTTTAGTTTAGGCATGGTGTCTCACACCTGTAATGTCAGCACTTTGAGAGGACAAAAGGGAGGATCACTTCAGCCTAGGAGACCAGCCTCAGCAACACGGTGAGACCCTGTCTCTCAAAAAATAAAATAGGCTGGCTGCGGTGGCTCACGCCTGTAATCCCAGCACTTTGGGAGTCCAAGGCAAGTGGATCACCTGAGGTCAGGAGTTCTAGACCAGCCTGGCCAACATGGTGAAACCCCGTCTCTACTAAAAATGCAAAAAAATTAGCCAGATGTGGTGGTGCACACCTGTAATCCCTGCTACTTGGGAGGCTGAGGCAATCACTTGAACCCAGGAGGCAGAAGTTGCATTGAACCAAGATAGCACCACTGCACTCCAGCCTGGACAACAAGAGTGAAACTCTTTCTCAAAAAATTAAAATAAAATAAGTACATTTATTATTCATTTTATTTTTTTGAGACAGAGTCTTGCTCTATTGCCCAGGCTGGAATACAGTGGTGGGATCTTGGCTCACTGAAACGTCTGCCTCCTGGGTTTAAGTGATTCTCGTGCCTCAGCCTCCTGAGTAGCTGATATAACAGGCATGAGCCACCACATCCAGCAAATGTTTTGTATTTTCAGTAGAGACAGAGTTTCACTGTGTTGGCCAGGCTGGTCTCAAACTCCTGGCCTCAAGTGATCCACCTGCCTCAGGTTCCCAAAGTGCTGGGATTACAGGTGTGAACCACTGTACCCAGCCTAAAATAAATTTAAAAACATAATTTTATTGAAAACCATTTGGTAGGTGCCAGCATGGGGACTTGATCACATGAAATTTGCATTTCTTTATTGCATATTATCTATCTGTCACCAGGCTATGCATTGAGTACAGAGAGGCAAATAGCAATTGTTTACAGACTTAACAATCTCCCCATTTATCAGCAGAGACATTCAAGTGGAGAAACAAACACAATAACTGTTAGTTACTTTGATAGAAACTTGTTTTAGGGACACTGAAAAAAAAGATCTCATTTAACACTTAAACAGCTATCTTGGCTGGGCACAGTGGCTCAAGCCTGTAATCCCAGCACTTTGGGAGGCCAAGAGTTTGAGACCAGCCTGGTCAACATAGGAAGACACTATCCTTATTAAAGAAAAAAAAGAAAGAAAAAATGCTTACAGCCGCCCTATGTAGTTACAACTATGAAAGATAAACTACATTATTTTCTTTTTTTTTTTTTTTTTTTTTTTTGAGACAGTGTCTCGCTCTGTCACCCAGGCTGGAGCGCAGTGGCACGATCTCGGCTCACTGCAACCTCCACCTCCCAGGTTCAAGCAAGACTAAATTCTTATTAATCATTACTTTTGAAACAATACCTAGTATTGTGTGTCACATATTATAGGTGCTTAATAAATGTTATTTCCCTCTCTGTTGCCACATTCCAGGAGTGTGGCCCTCATAATTTGTCATTGATTATGAGAATTAATGGTTTTTTAAAATCTTTCTACAAATTAGCTACCTTTTTCCAAATTTGTTTACTGATTAAAATCTCATGCTGTGGGCCAGGCATGGTGGCTCACGCCTGTAATCCCAGCACTTTGGGAGGCTGAGGCAGGCAGATTACGAGGTCAGGATTTCGAGACCAGCCTGGCCAACATAGTGAAACCCTATCTCTACTAAAAATACAAAAATTAGCCGGGCATGGTGTTGCAGTAAAACTCCAGCCAAGGAAAAGACAAAGAGACCTTTGGAAACCAAAGAGAACTTTATTTAATTCAGGTACCCGGGCTGGCAGCAGGCTCACGCCTAAAACGGCTGCCAACCCCAACATAGAAAGCAGGCTGGCTTATATGTCGTTTGAGGCGGGAAAACAAGGCAGGATACAGGTTTCAGACAAAGACAGTAAATTATTTAACCCGTGACAATTCCGAGAAAACTTACAATTTAGTTATCTTGACCAGTCAACCTTGAAGCTGGACAGCTCAAGCTGGGGTAAGGGAAAACAGGAATTACAGAAACATGTGGGGGTCTGGAGGCAGGCCATAAGCTTGGAAGGGTGAGATAAGCTCACAGCTGTAAAGTGTTAGCAATGCTGGGAGAGGTTGCTTAAATTTCTTAGCCTATGTATCACTTCTAAATAACCTATACTTAATGTTAACTATTACTTATGTTTTTATTAGTTTTAACTTTATTCTTATTTTATTTTCCTTCCACAATGGTGGTGCATGTGTGTAGTCCCAGCTACTCGGGAGGCCGAGGCAGGAGAATCCCTTGAACCCAGGAGGCAGAGGTTGTGGTGAGCCAGGATGGCGCCACTGCACTCCAGCCTGGGCGACCGAGGAGATTCCGTCTCAAAAACAAAAACAAAAACAAAACAAAACAACAACAACAAAAAAAAGAAGAAAAAAACCCTCATACTGTGGAAGATTTCCATCTCAAGTGTCTTCTACATTTGTCCAATTGTGTGTTGAATATTTTGAAAGCACCCCTGCATATGTGTGTATGTGGGTATAAAGACATATGTGCAATGTGATTCTTCATATTGGTTATCTTAAAAAAACAAAAACAAATACTTTTTAGGGTTGGACATCCTTCTCTGGACTGAGGAAAAGCATACTTATTTTGATAGGGATTTCTGTTCATACCATAGCAAAGCTGGTATAAAGAAGAGGGGGAGAGGCTGGGCGTGGTGGCTCACGCCTGTAATCCCAGCACTTTGGGAGGCCAAGGCAGGCAGATCACCTGAGGTCAGGAGTTTGAGACCAGCCTGGCCAACATGGCGAAACCCTGTCTCTACAAAACCACAAAAATTAGCCGGGCGTGGTGGTGCCGCCTGTGGTCCCAGCTACTTGGGAGGCTGGGGCATGAGAAAAACTTGAACCCGGGTAGCGGAGGTTGCGGTGAGCCAAGATCATGCCACTGCACTCCAGCCTGGGTGACAGAGCGAGACACCGTCTCAAAAAAAGAAGAGGGGGAAAGGCGGACATTATTGGACTTTGTATAATAACTGGTGGGGGTAAAACATCAAAAGTGCAATATCATTATCCTTACTTAATCAAATCCTCACAAACAGTTAAGTATCAGTACTGTAAACAAAATTCCTATTACCACTTTGGGATTTGAAATTAAAAATATTCTGGCCAGTCATGGTGGCTCATGCCTATATTCCCAGCACTTTGGGAGGCCGAGGTGGGTGGATCATGAGGTCAGGAGATCGAGACCATCCTGGCCAACACAGTGAAACCCCATCTCTATTAAAAATACAAAAATTAGCCAGGCGTGGTGGCGCATGCCTGCGATCCCAGCTACTCTGGAGGGGGAGGCAGGAGAATCCCCTGAACCAGGGAGCTGGAGGTTGCAGTGAGCTGAGATCACACCATAGTACTCTAGCCTGGCGACAGAGCGAGACTCCATCTCAAAAAAAAAAGATTCTTCCATAACTTCTAAATTAATGTTTTTAGAAAATTAATAATTTTAGTTCTTGGAGATGGTTGGGTAATGTTTTCCCTTTAAGCCTAGAGTTCTAGCTGGAGTTACTCTGGGGCAGGCAGCTCCAGAAATAGCCCCGTGGGTCTCCTCTGGGGTCGGGACCCCTGAAGGGGCAGGTTTCCACTGATCCTGTTTCCTGTCCTAAGGCAGCTTTGAAATGAACACCCACCCCCAGGAGGGCAGCTCAAGTGTCCACAAGAGGGACTGATTTAAATTACAAGCGGTGGTTCTCACAGAATGTTGTGTTTATATTAGAACAAAATTGATGTTTCTTTTTTTCTTTCTTTTCTTTTCTTTTCTTTTCTTTTCTTTTCTTTTCTTTCCTTCCTTTCTTTCTTCCTTTCTTTCTTCCTTTTTCTTTTTTTTTGAGACAGGGTCTCACTCTGTCGCCCAGGCTGGAGGGCAGTGGCACGCTCTTGGCTCACTGCAACCTCCACTTCCCAGGTTCAAGTGATTCTTGTGCCTCAGCCTCCTGAGTAGCTGGAACCACAGGTGCACGCCACTATGCCCTGCTAATTTTTGTATTTTTAGTAGAGATAAGGTCTCGCCATCTTGCCCAGGCTGGTCTTGAACTCCTGGCCTCAAGTGATCCGCGCACCTCAGCCTCCCAAAGTACTGGGAT